TGGAGCTGGTTGAAATATTGAACTGAAAGTAATCATTAATGGTTCAGAGTCAGTTTTGAAGGAAGTCTCTGGTAGAGGGCTTCAGGGATTTGTTCTGGGTTCTGTACTGTTTAAATACATTTTTATCTGTGATGTAAGAAAAGGCACAGATGGTCTGCTAATCAGATTTGCAGCTGACAGAATTAGGAATAGAATAACACTGGGTGACAGTCAGGATCCCAAATCTCAACAGGCTGGAATATTGGAATTAATTAATGAAATGAAATGTAATAGTGAGAAATGTATGGCTAAATAGCAGTTTATCCTAAAAAAGATTTGGGGGTGTTAGTGGACTGCAAACTCAAGTGGGCAGTGTAAAGGGACAGCCCCAAAGGCTAATGCTTTCTGAGCTGCAAGAAGAATATAGCTCTTAAAGGATGAGGAAGTGCTGGTCCCTCTGAACTCTGCCCTGCTCAGGCCACATATGGTAATAAGGATATTAAATGAGCTCTGAGCTCCCTCAGAGCTCTGAGTTTATGATCTTAAGCAGAAGTAATGAAAGCCCTAATTAATGATAAGAAGTAAATAAAATGTCTTTATTTGAATGGAAATAAAATTTTTAAAAAACTTACAATGTCACTCTATTTTTTTGTTATCATGGATTTTAATAGAACAATGCAATTTCATAATATATACACGTGAACACTGTAGCCTCTCTAAGGAAAGTGCAAGGGGAGAGAAAGAAAGTAGAAAAATATCCAGATAAGTAATCTTCCAGGAATTGGAGTGCTGGACTGATATTTTTGACCTCAGCCCCATCAGTCTCCATCTTCTTTCTTTTCTCAGTAATTGCACTGATCTTTTCCCATTCTTGGTCAAGCTCTGCCTTGTCATTTGCTTCTTTGAAGCATCTGATTTTCCGACCTGCTGCCATCTTGATGCCATACTGGAATGTAGTGTTAGGCAAAGCCTCTCTGTTGCTCATACGCTTGCTATACTCTTCCTGGGTGTCAAAGTCCCGTCGACCCAGTGGTCCCTTCTTGTTACCCTGGTCCACCTCCTTATCACTGTCTACAACCATGCCATCCCTCGTGACTGGATACCACTCTGCGTAGCTGGTGGGCGTGTAAAGGAAATCTCCCAGCTGCTTCTTATCTTGTGGCTTCTTTAGGATTTGCCGCCTTCCCACCAGCAGAATCGGCAGACTTTTCATTGATGGACTTTATCAAGTCGTTGGCAGATCCAGAACCTTTGTCAGTGTCGAGGGGCTCGTCATGCACTTTGGGCTTCTCCAAATAGCCGTGTTGCTGCTTCTCTGCTCTCTGTCTCTTTCCCATTCTCAGCCTCATTCGTGATCTCCCTCTGGTTCATGATAGTGCTTCCAGTCTTTTTCCTTGGAACCTTAGTTGTTGGCGGTACATAATCTCCAGTGTCTTCAAAAAGGTAAGTCAGCCCCTAGAGGCTTCTTCTCATCCAGTTTTCTTTTGCTCTTTTTCTGTAGCTTCTCATTCTGGGTGCCCTGCCAGGTAGAAAAGGATCAGTGCCAGCTTGCTGAGGATGATGTCATTCATGGTCAGTGTGGTCTGGGCCTCCGTACCGGAACAATCGGCTTGGCTCCAGATAAGTGTAGTGGGGATATCCGTGTCTGCCTGCTCATCCTCCAGATCTTCCATGTGGGTCACGCAGCCTGGCAGAAACAGCTCATTTCGTTCATAAACTTGGTTCTTGAAGAGCACGTGGTGAATGCTGCGACCCAAATGCATCTTAAATTCAGTTTTATTCTCAGGACCTTCATTCTTCGTTTCCTTCTGAGGTTTCTCCATCACCTTCTCTTCTTTTTCTTTGTTGGCAATCTCAGCTTGAACCTTCTGGGGAAGGGCAAATCTATGTCTGTCTATTTTTGTATGTTGATTTTGTGGAATTATGTTTTCAGGGTGTCTGTGTGTACATGTTTCCTTTTAAGGAGATCTCATTTGGTATAGCCTATATTTGGACCCATTTAGTTTCTGTAGATGAACTAGACAGGCAGCTTTGTAAAAACATAGAACTAGAAAACACTTTCGTATCCTAGAACTTCAAATTCAGTTTCCCTGGATGCCATTCTTGTGTTTTCTGTCATTAGAATTCTCTGATATTTCATATAGTTTTCCCTGGAGCCAAAGATGGTGAGGGAGTACTAAATTTGTCAGTTAAATTGAGTCCTTGAAATCATTAGGTCCCAGAAGATGTAACTGAAGAGTATTTCAGGCAGTGGCTAGGTAAGAGTATTTTGTTTCTTCAAATATAGACGCTGTCACCGTAGATATGTCATGGACAGCTCTTTAGGTTTTTTTTTTAATATAAGATGAAAAGGATTGATGGGGGCACACCAAAAGGAATAGGAGAGAGAGAGAGAGAGAGAGAGAGAGAGAGAGAGAGAGAGAGAGTGTGTGTGTGTGTGTGTGTGTGTGTGTGTGTGTGTGTGTACTCTTGAAATACTCTTTCTGTTGTGGACTCTACTGACTATTTTTTTGTGGTTTGTACATTTTTCTTCTCTAGGGTGAGGAGCAAAATCACTATTCAGGATAGTATGAGTTTTCTAGTGCCTTTTCCTAAGTTTTATTCTAAGGCTCACTCATCATACTCCATTATTTACTTGTCACTTTCTCAGCTGTCATGTGGATCATAGTTTTTTATTTTGTGGCCAACCATTGTCTAAAATGTGCAAAGTGTCACAGTGGAAGTCTCTGTTTGCTTCACATAGGAGTACTAAAGTTCACAGGAGACCTAAAGTGCACACACGTCTTCTGTTGCTGCTGTTGCCATGGAGCGTCAAGTATTTGTTTTTGATTGAATAATAGGGCAGATGGTCATGTCCTGCTCCTATAGTTCTGTCTGTGACCTTGGAGCACTGTGGAGATGCCTGTTTGCAGCTGACTTGGCCTCCTTTATGATTTCTGCATTCTGTGCCTATGGATAAGTGTTTCCAGAAGTATCCCAAACACTCCGCAAATTGGTAAGTCAGGCATACTATTTCTTAGGCAGAAGGTAGGGAAGAAGTGGGGAAAGTTAATTAACTTGTTTCTTTTTAAACCCCAGACTCAGAAAATGACAAGAGCATCTAGTGGTTCCAGGCTCTTTGAGATCATATTTGGTTTTCAATACCCCAGGGGTCCTTCGGTTGCAATTCTTGATGTGGTATTTGCTAGACTCAAATATGCAGTAATAATTTCTCACCTCTTTCCATCCCACTGATATTTTACACATTCTTCCTGATTCCTACAACATTTCTAGAAGTCACTTTGAGCTGATGGGAAGTGGTCATTCAGAGTATATTCTTCTTCCTGGGACTTTGTTTAGTTACAGTGCAGATGTATTCAGATTTACTATTTGAAATGATATTTCTGCTTTCTGGACTACTTGTCTTTTGAAACTTTGCTGGATGCTCTTCCAACCTGAGATTGCTCTTTGAGATGGCTTTTTTTTTTGGGGGGGGGGTAGGCAGTGGGGTTAAGTGACTTGCCCAAGGTCACACAGCTAGTAAGTGTCAAGTGTCTGAGGCTGGACTTGAACTCAGGTCCTCGACTCCAAGGCCGGTGCTCTATCCACTGCACCACTTAGCTGCCCCTGAGTTGGCTTTTTTATGTTATGTACCTGGCACAGTATTTGCTAGAACCTAAAACTAAAAAAAAAAAGTTACTGGAAATGTGGTGTTAGAAGCATTTCCAAACACTTGTGAGAATCTTGAAAATTCTTATCGAGGATGAATTCCTGTTAAGGGTAAAAACAAAATCAGAGTAAAAATTAAGATGCTCTGTCTAGGTTGTGCTTGAATTTTAGAATGCTAGGTATGACTGTAAACTTTTATGAGATTGTAGGGCGCAGTGGGAAAAGCTGCCTATCCACTATGGCGTTAGTGGGCCAGTCTGGCCACCTAAATAGCAGCTTTTGGATGGACTTTTTCCTGTCTCCAGATTAATCTTCCAGGTTTCGTTAGTGCCTGTTTTGTACTGCTTAGACACTAGACGAAGCATCTGTCTGTCAGGGCCTGTCTGTTGTTCTTTGTACAGAACAACAGTATTGTATATAAAGATCACATCTGTTTCTTTAGCATCTTCCTGAAGTCCTTGGTCCAGGTTCTGTATGTCAGAACTACTTGATAAGCTGTTGAGTGATAACAATCTTATTTTAGCCTGTGTAGTCAGTTCTCAGTTACATATACTAAGGGAAGAAGAGGTGTCAAGAAGGTGATAAAATGCATAATCCAGTAAGAGAAACTGTGTCCTTAAGCTCAAGCAATTATCCTCTTCTTTCTTTGGCCATCAGTTTTCTGTTGGTCATTACTATAGTCAGTAGTTCAAAATCTTTCTTGATGTTGTGAAGGAAAACAATCTCATGAATCAGATAAACTGTTTGCACATAATAGTGAATTGATGTGCTTGGTGAGGGGAGAATGATTTTTCTGTAACTTGCTTTTGGGAGAAAAAACCTGTACACTGTTTAATGACATAGGAATTAATGGATTAGATAGTTTAAAACAACTAGCTTATGTAAAAATATATGGCTATTTTATAATACTTTGTAGCACTCAACAAAATTGTATTGTAAAATTAAAACAAAGATTAGTCTGAATGTTGTTTTACTTTTAACAACAGGGACTGCATAAGTGGGTACTTGGAATATACATGTGAATATATATACACAAATATATATGTGTGTGTATATATATATATATATAATATATACACACACACACACACACACACATAAATATTTATACAAATTTTGAAAAATTGGACTCCTTATCTAAGTATGATTATATAAGAGTATACATCCTACTAAACATTAATAAGGGAGAAAAATTTTGAGATAACTAACACTTTTTCTGTTTCCATCTCCAGTGGTAAAGAAATATTTAAATTTCCTGAACTTTGTCAGTTTGGAAGGTCTTATTTGGATATGTGAATTGAACATTGTTTTAGAATTTGAAAAGTTAACATACATTACCTCTTTTTCTTCCCTTCCCCTCTTCTCTCTCACAGCTACGGATAACGGTCTGGTCCCTGTGTACAAAATCTGTGTCTTATATCAAGTATCCTAAAGCTTGTCAGCAGGGTGAGTGTATCAGAACTCTTCTCAGGAGAGTATTTTTAATAAGCAACAAAAAAGAGCTGAGTTTGCATTTACCAATTAAGCCTGTGATGCTGAATTGGGTGTATCTATATCCCCTTCAATGTGATGTCTGTGCATCAGTCAGGAGACACTTAGCTAGAACATAAATCGGACTTGAGCAGAGCCTGGTTCTGATCCTTCTGTTGACTCCCTCTTTAATCTTGAGGAAATAGTTAGCCTTTGTTTCTGTTTGCTTGTAAAAGGGAAATTGTATTATCATTCCCCTATGGATGAAATAAATGAAGGCTTTCTATGCTCCAGGGACTGTGCCAAGCTCTAGAGATACAGGTCCAAAAAGTGATGCAGCCCATGCCCTGAAGGTCATGTTCTAACAGAGGAAAAGAACACAATACATATAGGGGAGTGGTGGCCAGCGGAGGGAGTTTGGGTCTGGGAAGTCACAGGGATGACGAGTTGATCTGTAGGGCAGGCAAGGGTCATGCTCTTCCTGGGAGCAATCGATTTGGTTACTGTGCACAGAGCAGGAGGTGGAAAGCCTGGTTGAGTGACTAGATGGCATGGCACAGCATGGTTGGGGGCTGGCCCTCAGTCACTAGATGAGACTGAGGCCTGGGAGCTCAGGGGCTGACAACAGGTATTTGTGAGGATAATTGAACTGGCCACTGTAGCCCTCTGAGCCCTTAGGAGGAGGGGCTATGGGATTTGTTATTAATCTTATTAGTTTACTTGCGTAAATGTATAATATACCGCCAGCTTCATTTAGTCTACACACCCAAAATGAGCTAGGTGTACCACTCTTGAATCAGCACGATGCAGTAATGGTTTTCTGAGAAACTGAGCAGAATGATGTATTAGAATAGATTATCTAAGTTATTCATTATTTTTCTTTTAGTAGTCAAAAATAAATACTTTTATGTTTCCACAAGAGATTGGAAAATTGTGTGTGTTTGAATGAAATGGCTGTTATTAGTATCCTTTATCGTCATTACACAGTTAGGCATATTATCTGAGGCGTAACATCCTTTCTTAAAAGCAAGTTGTCCATTCAGGTAAATTCCTAATCTATATATCCAGTCCCGCTCTTTTTCTGGAATTTTAGCCCCTGTCACCAAAGTGCATATTGGATATTTCCATCCACTAGGATGTCCCATAAACATCTTAAATTCAGCATGTCCAAAACAGAACTCGTCTTCATCCCCCTCCCCCCAAACTTCCTTTGCTTCTGTTGAGGGCAGCACTATCCTTCTAGAAATCCAGGTTTACAACCTGGGAATTATCTTTACTCTTCCCTCTCATTTACCCCTCACAACTAACTGTTTACCAAATCTTTTCAATTCTATTGCCACAATATCTTTTGCTCTCTTGTCTTCTTTTCTTCACTCCTGTAGCCACCAGCCTAGTTGAAGCCTTCATCATCTCCTACCTGAACTATTACAGCAACCTCCTAACAGGTCTCCCTGTGTCTTGCACTTAGCTTCCAAATGGGTATTCCTAAAGTACACATCTGACCATGTCCCAGTGGAAATAAGCATATGAAAAAATGCTATAAATCAGATAATAAGAGAATTGCAGAGTAAAATGACTCCCACCATATCCATTAGACAACAGAAGTAGAGAATGACTGTTGTTAGATGGTTGTGGGAGAATACACTCATTAATCCCCCGTTAGTGAAATTATGAATTGATCCAGCTGTCCTGGAAAGCAGTTTGGAACTATAACCTTAAAAATCACTAAATTATGCATGCCCTTTGACCTAGTGCTAACCATTACCGACATGTTCCCCAAAGATAGTAAAGGGGAGAGGACTCCTTCAAAAATATTTATAGCAGCATTTTTGTTGTAGCAAAGATCTGGAAACGAGTTGGGTGTCCATCATTTGGGGAAAGGCTGAACAAATGATGAGTAATGAATGTAATGTGATCAGTGAATGAATAAACATTTATTAATTGCTTAATATGTGCCAGGCACTGTGCTAAACATTGGAGTTACAAAGAGAAAGTAAAAACAGTCCTTGTCCTCAAGGAGCTTACATTCTAATGAAGGAGATAGCAGGTACATAAGTAGGTGTATACAACATACGTACAGAGTAGGTGTAAAGTAACCTTATAGGGAGGGGCATTTGCAGCTAGGTGGTATTTGAGCCAATTCCTTAAGGAAGCCAGGGAATCTAGGAGGGGGAGGTGAGGAAGGAAAGCACCCAGGTGTTAGATAGAGACAGTGCAAAGGCCTGGAAACAGAGGATGATGCATCTAGTTCAAGAACAGCAAGTAGTCCAGCATAGCTGGACCATGGAATTTATGGAGGGGCGAGTACTGTGTAAGAAAGGAAAGACGGGAAAAGTCCACATTGTAAAAGTTTATATTTGATCTTAGGAGGTAATAGGGAGCCACTGGAGATTAGTGCGTAATTGGGTGACACGATCAGTCCTATACTTTGTGACATCACATTGGTGGCTTGTGAACGATGTTTTGGAATGGAGGGGAGGGCTGGAGGCAGGGAGACCAGTGGAGTAGTCCGAGTGAGAGGTGATGAAAGCCTGAACTCGGTGGTGGCTGAGTGAGTGGAGAGAAGAGGCCGTGGAAATGACAAGATTTGGCGACTGAGTGAACGAGTGAAGTGAGGGAGAGAGAGGAATCGATGATAATGGGTTGAAAAACTGGTAACTGGGAGGATGGTGGTGTCCTCAACAGTAAGAGAGAAGTTTGGAATAGTTTGGGGGCAAAGATAGTGAGTTGTGTTTAGGACATGTCAGGTTTGGGGTGCTGCCAGTGGAATGTCTGCTTTTGGAATTCCCATAGGCAGTTGACAGTGCCACCCTGGAGCTCAAGGAAAAGACTAGGGCTGAAAAAAAGATCTGAGAGTCATTTGCATAGAGATGATGGTTGAACCCATGGGAATTTGTGAAATCTTCACGTGAGACATTATAGGGAGAGCAGAGAGGCCGAGGACAGAGCACAGAGCAGGCTGAGCTGTGGTAAGGGAGGGGAGAGACCAACTCAACGAAGCCTGGAAGGACTTGTAGGAGCTGATAGAGAGAGAGGTGACGAGAACCAGGAGTTAACAACTGCAGCATTGGAAAGGAAAACACATGTGCTCAATGCCGTGCCCAATCATGGCTCCAGAAGACTGAGGATGGATCATGTTTCCCACTAGAGATGCAGAAGAAGACATCAGTTTTCAGATACAGTCATGGTATGGCTTTGTTTTGCTTCACTATACTTATTGGTTACAAGAAGGAGTGGTTTTTTTGGGAGGGGAGTATTATGGAAGGCAGTAAGGGGATTGGTGATAGTGATGCAAAAATAAAAGAAAAAAGAAATGAAATATTCTTACAAATATACAGCAGAGAGCAGTAAGAGGTTCAGAAGGGGACACACAAGCGAGGTAGTGTTTGTACTCTTCTGTTAAACTTAATATATACTTTTAAAAAATTATGTAAAACTTTTCCATATTAGTCATTTTGTACAAGAAGACTTGAATAAAAGAAAAAAAAAGAAAGTGAAAACTAGAATGCTTTAGTCTGTATTCAGTCAATATCAGTTCGTTCTCTGGAGGTGGATAGTATACTTCATCATTAATCCTTTGGGATTGTCTTGGATCATTGTTTAATATATACTTAAAAAAAACTATATATGATAGATTCACAGTTTCATATACACTGTTTTCCATTCCTTCTACATGGAAATGTTCGTGCTTATTAAATGAGTTTTTTGGGTTGTTGTTTTTTTTTTTTTAAAGCTCCTTCCTCCCTCGAGGAGAAAAGGAAGATTTTCCTATTTGGTTTTTAAAGCCTTCCATTATATGACTCCTACTTTCCTTCCTTTAAAATTTTTTTTAATGTTCTTTTTTTATTATGCGCTTAAATGTTTATGTTTGTTAATGACTTAAGTTAATTTTTAAAATTGGCATTTCAATAAACAACAAAAGAGGAGTATTTTATATGAAACTGAACTTTTCTTACATTGCAGTTTTTATAGTAGATACTAAATTTAACATGAAAGTAACAGAATTGCCCTGCTTGTCTTCGTCCCATCTTAAAAATGTTTTATTGATTCTTTTTGGGTATCATTCTCATTACTTACTGATGGTATCACTGCTTCCCCTGAACTTGTAACTAATAAGTAGAGTAGAGCAAACAAATCAAGGTAGAGGCTGTGTCTGAAAATATATTTCATTTTGTGCTTCTAGGCCATCACTTCTCTCTACCAAGAAGTGGAGAGCATATTTCATTAACGATCTTCTGCAGTCGTGATTGATCACTGCATTAATCAAAGTGTTCAAATCTCTCAAAATTATTTTCCTTTATAGTGGTGTAGCCGCCATGTACATTGTTCTTCTGGTTCTGTTCATTTCACTTTATGTCAATTCATACGAGCCTTCCCAGGTTTCTTGAGTCCATCTTGTTCAGCATTTGTTATGGTCAATAATATTCCACTAAATTAACGTGCTGGAATTGTTTGGGCATTCCCATTTGATGCTTACCCACTTACTCACAGTTCTTCAAAGTGCCGCTTTAAATATGTTTCGTCCATAGGAATCTTATCTCTGGGTCCTTGACCTTTTTGGGGAATATGCCTAGAGGTAGTATTGCTGGGTTAAAGGATTCCAGCCTTCACACATCCTGTATTCTAGCTCAATTATTATTCTGTTGAGTGTTCGGTGTCATACACAGCATTCCCCCTCTCATCCCTCTGTCTTTGCCACAGGCTGTTTGCTGTCCTTAGAATGTTCTTTGTCCTCGTTTCCATCTTGTAGAATTCTTGGTTTCCTTCAAAGCTCAGCTCCTGTGTTAACCCATACAGAAACTCTATCCTGACTGCTAAGATCCTACCTCTTGGAAATTATTTTGATTTTATATTTTCCATATCTGTATGCATGTTGTTTCTCTCTAGTAGGACATATGTTCCTTGAGGGCAGGGGTGATTTCGTTTTTATTTTTGCTTTTATTTTTAGATCCTCAGCACAATGCCTGGCACATTATTAAGTAGGTACTTAATAGATGTTTTCTTAATTGAATTAAATATTAAAAAACGGAAATGATTTTAATGACTTCTGACATAAGAGGCCTTATGCTTTCTAAGTTGAGAGAGACAACGAGGTGGTATAATGTCATAATTTTGTCCAACTTACTAACTTAAATTTCCTTCAGCCAAATAAGCAGATTCAAAAGTGGAAAGGACATACAGTAAGTTTATTTTATATGGTATCCTGTCAATATTTTTTACTTTTTCTGAACGTCAGTAGTATAGTAATAATTGATGAAGTACAAGAAGATACTGAAGTATTTTCTGAGTCATCTAATAAAGATTACACTTAATACTGAAATTGTATGGTGTATAATTTATTCTCTATTACTACAGTTCTTTGACATTTGGAGACCCACGTATGGTAGGAAGGACAGCATGTTGTAGTAGATGGAGAGTGAACCCCTGAGTCAGGATGACCTGGCTTCCAGACTGACCCCAGTGTTTAGTGGCTGTGCCATCCTGAGTGGGTCACTGCGCCTCTCAGCGACTGTGGGACACTTAACTTGAGAGCAGGTGCTGATCTAGATTGGTAGAGGAAATTCCTCACCAGGAGCAGCCTATGCAAATGAAATCACAGGTCTGGTTAAAAAGTATTGTGTGTTAACCTATCTAAAGTTTTTATTTGTTACTTTCCCCTCCTTTGCCTATTTTCTTCCTTTGATTCTTTGCAGAAAATTACTCCTCTTATTTTATGTCTCTTCATAAATTCACAAAATTTTAATCTTTCTGCTAGGAATAAGCTTTACAAAGGATGGCCGCTACATGGCACTGGCAGAAAGGCGTGACTGCAAAGATTATATTAGCCTCTTTGTGTGTAGTGACTGGCAGCTCTTGAGGGTGAGACATTTCTGGTTACTATTAAAAATACTTTTTGGAGGTATATTTCTTAAGCTACTAGGATGGATAGGGTTATTTTACATTCCTAGAAGTTAGGGACTGTTTTTTAACTCTGATTTTTGCACTGCCACATAGTGTTAAATTCTGCTTGATTATAAAGTGTACATTAGTGATGTAGAAGAGGTAGTGAATTTTCAAAATAGAATGATTTTACTTTTTCTTATTAGCATATAAGTTATTTATAGCATAGCTGATATTGTATAGTTTATGTTTAGGCCTGTAGATTATTAGTTTACTGCAGCAAATTAAGTATAGTATCAGACTTAATATTAATTCTGCTGCTAACTTTGTGATTTTCAACAGTTAAACATTAATTTTGAGAGAAATAGAGTACTGATACCCAAACCAAGCAGAAACAAATCGGAGAAGGAAAACTAAAGACAAATTTCGCTAGTGAACATTGATATTAAAAACATTAAATAAAATCATGTCAAGGAGACTAGAATAGTATAATTCACTATGACCAAATTAAATTTATAACATGACTTCAAAGATGATTTAACATTCGGAGAATGACTAGCATTCGTAATTATATAAACAGTAAAATCCACATGATTATTTAACTATATGAGGAAAAAGCCTTTGAAAAAAATACAGTTCTTGATGTGGAGTGAAGTGAGCAGAACCAAGAGAACATCGTATACAGTAACAGCAACATTGTGCCATGATTAGCTATGATAGACTTGACTCTTCTCCGCAATGCAAGGATCCAAGACAATTCCAAAAGACTCATGATGTAAAATGCTGTCCACATCCAGAGAAAGAACTACAGAGTCTGAATGCAGATCAGAGAATACTTTTCACTTTTTTTTGTTTTTTTCTTTCTTGTGGTTTTTCCCTTTTGTTCTGATTCTTCTTTCACAGCATGACTAATGTGGAAATATGTTTAACATCGTTGTACATGTATGACCTATATCAGATTGCTGGCTGTTTTGGAGAGGAGAGAGAGAAAAATTTGGAACTCGAAATCTTATAAAAATGAATGTTGAAAACTGTCTTCACATGTAATTGAAAAAATAAAATACTATTAAGTGGAAAAAATAATAAAAAAAGAAAAAGAGAAGAAAAAAATTACCATTTCAGGGAGGGAAGAGGAAAGGGAGAGAGAGAATTTGGATCTCAAAATTTTAAAAATGAATGCTAAAATTTTTTTTTTTTATTGTTAGGCAATTGAGGTTAAGTGGCTTGCCCAGGGTCACACAGCTAGTAAGTGTTAAGTGCTTGGTCTGAGGCCAGATTTGAACTCAGGTCTTCCTGACTTCAGGGCCGGTGCTCTATCCACTATACCACCTAGCTGCCCTCTTCCACTATTGTTCTAGTTTTATCTAAAATGTTTTAGCTATATCGATAAGACAAGAGAATGAAATTAAAGATTCTAATATCAAATAAGGAAAACAAAATTGTCTCTATTTGCAGATAGCACCATAGTTTACCTAGAAAATTCCAGAGAATTAGCCAAGAAACTAATTGAGATGATTAATAACTTCATTAAAGTTGTAGGATACAAAAGAAATCCTTAAAAATCAGCTTTTCTGTACAATATAAGAAAGAACCAGGAGAAAATAAGAAATTCTGTTCCAAATAGCTTTTAAAATAAAAAATTTGAGTTAGGCTTTTAAGCCATATGCAGTACTAACATAAGATAACTACAAACTCTCTTCCTGAAATAAAAGACTTAATTAGAGATTCAGTTCATGGTTGGGTTATGCTAACATAATAAAAATGATTTTACTACCTGAATTAATTTACAGCGCTAGTGCTATCACAGATTATCACAAGCGATATTTTATAGGAGTAGACCAAATAATAAAATCATTTGGAGTAAATAATGAAAAAAATGAAGAGAGCATTGAATACCAGGCCTCAAATTATATTATAAAACAATAATCATTGATTTAAATTAGTAATTAAATTGGCAACATAGGTCAGTGAAATAGACTAGATAAGCAATAACCAGAAGCAACTGTTGCTCAGTGTTTGATAAAGTGTTAAATCAACAGTGTAAATTATTGGGGGAAGAACTTGTTTGACAAGAACTTCTGGAATGCTGTTTGATAGAAATAAAGTGTAGACTAACATCTCACACAATCACTGCAATGATGACCTAATGCACATGCAGCCTATGTAAAAGGCCACATCATTAAAAAATGGAGGCCTTCAGAAGGAAGTACCTTTCATGACTAGCCTGGGAGAGAATTCTTAACCAAACAAGCCTGGAAGGAAGAATAAAAGATATGAGAAACAATTTGGATTACATAAAATTAAAGTCTTTTCACAGCTTAGAGTTAGGAAACAAGCAAATGGGAAAAAAAATGCGTCCAGTGTCACTGAGGAAAATCTGTTATCCAAGATGCATAGAGTATTGATATACATGTGTAAGACCACGAGTCATTCCCCTTTAGAAGAGGTCAAATAAAGAATTGCGAACCATATATGACCATGTCAATACACGATCCAAATTGATAGTTACAAGAGAATTAAAACAACTCTGAGGTTTTACTTCACAAAATTGACAAAGGTGACCGTCAAAGATGACAAAAAACTGGGAACACTGAGTGTTGGAGAGGCCATGGGGAAGACAGTATCGGTGGAGCTGTTTGTTTTCATTTTGGGTTTTTGTTGTTATGTTTTGAGTTTCCTTCTCTCCCTCCCAACCCTGCAATAGAGAAGGCCAACATGTGTGAAACCGTACAATACACACTTCCATGTATCGGTTCTTTCTCTGGGGGTGGATGGCATCTTCCCTCATAGGTCCTTTGTAGTTGTTTTGAATATTCATGTCACTCAGAGTGGCTTATCATTCACAGTAACACTTCAGACAATGTTGTTTTTACTGTATACAATGTTCTCTTGGTTCTGCTCATTTTATTCTGTATCATTTCTGGCAAGTTTTTCCATGTTTTTCTAAAATCAACCTGCTTATCATTACAGCACAGTAGTATTCCATCACAATTATATATCACCTTATTCAGCCATTCCCTAATGGACTGGCATCCCCTTCAATTTCCATTTCTTTGACAGCACAAAAAGAGCTGCTTTAATATTTTAGAACATGTAGGTTCTTTTTTCCTTTTTCTGATTGCCTTGGGAAACACCCAGCAGTGGTATTGCTGGGTCAGAGGGTATACGTAGTTTTAGAACTCTTTGGCCATAATTCCAAATTGCTCTCAAAAATGATTAGATCAGTTTGCAATTCCACCAACAATATTTTCTTTTGGGGGGCGGGGTGAGGCAACTGAGGGTAAGTGACCTACCCAGGGTCACATAGCTAGTAAGTGTCAGTGTCTGAGAGAAGATTTGATCTCAGGTCCTCCTGACTCCAGGGCCAGTGCTCTATCCATGGCACCACCTAGCTGCCCCTGCCAACAGTATGTCAGTGTCCCAATTTTTCTACACCCCCTCCAACATTTGTGATTTTCTCATTCTATCATTGTAGCCAGTCTGATAGTTGTGAGATGGTACTTTGAAGTTGTTTTAATTTGCATTTCTGGAGCTATTTGTTTTCCAAAAGCTCTGTAAAACAATTTGGAATTATGGAAGAAAAGGGACTCCATTTTTAGATGTACTTTGACACCGCTATACCACCACTGGCCATGTATCTCAAGAAGGCCAACAGCAGAAATAAGTATTCAATGGGTACCACAGTATTCCATGCAGGACTTTTCTTAGAGACCTGGAAACAAAGTGGGAGGCATGTGAATGTCAGGTTAGGGCCTGGGCCTGTAATTCCATTGACAGAGAGAGCTCCTGAATACTGAGTTGCCCAAGATGTGGCTCCCTGGCCTGGCCAGCTCTGCCCACTCCACACTGCCTGCCTCTGTAGGAATGGGGTGGGAACTTTTAGCAGAAGCGAGATGTATATGAAAAACGAGCAGAGATGAGACGAGATTTATGTGAACCAATACTGAGTGAAACGAGCAGGACCAAGAGGACACTAGACAGAAATATGACCACGATACTGGAACTAGAAAGGACTCTTGTGCTGTTTTGGAAAACATGATGAAACCCGGCTCTCTTGGCAGAGAATTGGGGCAGTAACAGTATTAGTTATGAGAGGGTTTAGTTCTGGAGGTAGAGCACATTTCAAGAAATTGATGTAGAAGCAGTAGGCATCAATAAAATCATTTTTAAAATGTAGGGAGGAGTTATTTAATCCTGGAAACTATTTTTAGGATAGTAGGAAAAATTAGAAGCAGCCTGCCAAGTGGCTAAAACTCTGGACTCCAAGTCAGGCAGAACTGGCTTCAAATCCTGCCTCAGATGCTTTCTGGCTCTGTGACCCTGGGCAGGTCATTTGACCTTTAGGCCCAGGCTTCTCATCTTTAAAATGAGGGGCTCAAACTCAGTGACCTCCAAACTCCCTTACAGCTCTGAATCTGTGAGCCTGTGAGCTGTTATCCTGTGCAAGTTTGAATGAACATATTGTATATAATTTGGGATCTAAAATCTTTTTAAAACTTTCTTCTGGTTCCTCCCCTACCCCACCCTCCCTCATGTTCTCTTCTGAAGCATTTTGAGACAGATACCCAAGATCTTGCTGGGATTGAGTGGGGTCCGAACGGATGTGTGTTGGCAGCTTGGGACAGTTGTTTGGAGGTATGAAGAAAATACTTGTTTTCAGGGGCTCTTACTGGTAGCTCTTTTACTTACTGCTTTTATGGAAATAAATGTCTAACATCCTATACTTGTTAATTACTAACATAGGGAATATGACTTTGGGACTTGGCTTGAATCTGCCCCTCACATTCACTAACTGTGACTGTGGATGAGTCACTGAGGTTGTGAGCCTCAGCTTCCTCATCTGTAAAATAAGGATATTAATAAGAGGAGGGCCTCCCTCGCAGAGCTGTGTGAGACCTGATGGAAGTCTTTGTAGAGAGCAGTGTAAAGTGCCATTATAAATCTCAGCTCTTAGTGTTACAGCTTTATGACCTTATGTGTAGTAGTCTGAAATGGCTTGTTGGAATCAAATTGTCTTGTTTACAGTATAAAATTCTGCTGTACTCCTTGGATGGCCGGTTGTTGTCAACATACAGTGCATATGAGTGGTCACTGGGCATCAAGGCTATAGCCTGGAGCCCTAGCAGCCAGTTTTTGGCCATCGGAAGCTACGATGAAAAGGTAGGGAGTATGTGCACATGAAACTTGTAGAGCTGGCCACGTGCATTTGTTTAAAGCATGACACCAACTCTGACTGTGTCTTTAAACAGGTACGGATTCTTAACCACGTGACTTGGAAGATGATTACGGAGTTTGGACATCCTACAACCATTAATAACCCCAAGATAGTAAGTTTGGGGTTTATGCCGCTAGTGAAAACTGCAGTGGTCTTTGCTTTTATTGATTTCAGTCTCCACCAATGCGGGTAGAAGTCCTGCCATTTTTTTTTTAAATATAAGTAGCCGTGATTGGAGAAACTTATCACCTAGTGGGTACCCCTTTAAAAAATGATGAGCCTCTCTGCATTTAACCAGGCTGGGCCTCAAGTGATAGACACAGAGTCCTTTAAGTATACAGACCCATTTCCCTCTTGGTAAAATCTACCAGAGCTTGTGCTTCACCGGCATCACCTTTAAAGGCATGGGATCCCTTCCCTATTACACACAGGACTGTAGAAGGTAACACAATTACTGCTTGCATGATGTATCAGTTATTTTTAAATAGCGTGTGTTGGTTTACCATACATTTTGGTAAAAAAGGTGAGCTGACTCATATAAGGGTATGTGAGTTGGTTTTATTTGTCAAATTGCAAGTTTCAGACTTCTGGTGGTAGGGGTTTCTGCCCTCCAGATCTTGACCCAAGACCAGCTTCCCACCAGTGAAGGCATACTGGAAAAGAGGAAGCTGCAGTTACTCTCTGACCACTGGTATGGCAGCAACAACACTGACCTCTAAATGATGTTCTGTGTAAATGGTTCATGTAAAATTTTCGGTTTTTTCTTTTGGAGGTAATCAGGGTGAAGTGACTTGCCCAGGGTCACACAGCTAGTAAGTGTCTGAGGCCAGATCTGAACTCGGATCCTCCTGACTCCAGGCCCAGTGCTGTATCCACTATGCTACCTACCTGCCCACAAAATTTTAGTTTTAATAAAACCCTGAATCTGTACAGCTTTGGGGTTTTGATTAGTAAGCCCCTTCCCTATCCTTGGTGACGGGTGAAGTTCTTTTCCTCAAAAGATGATGATAGGGCAGAATAAATACACTTTATCAGTTATCCTTGAAGCATGTCCCTTGATTTAGGGATTAGATTCTTGGCCACATCTGAGACAAACCCCTTGGATTATCTTAGGGACAGGTTAGGAGAAGAAACGTAGACAGATTTAGCCTAGCGTTTGGCTCCCTAACCCTCGGGACCTTTGGTTTCTTCTGAGACCTCTTGACATTCCTGCCCCCGGTGTTCCAGATGAGCCAAACAAAGACCTGTTTGGAAGGCACTGGATAACATTCTGGCCTGTGGATATCATCACTCCGTTAAGGAAGACAGACTGCAGTGTGCCCGTCTTCCAAGCTGATAGAAATTCCTAAGATTTGATCTTGAAACTTTTACGCAGAAGTCACTGATAACACTGAGCTTGGTTGCTCTTGGTGGATCACATTTCTCGTGGAGGCGACTGTGTCTTCCTCACTTACAGTCTTTCATCCTGCGGGTTCGGTCTTATTTGTTGGCCTAGAATTGGTTTTTCTTGTATTCTTGACCTTTTTTTTTTTTGAGGCTATTTTAAGACTTGCTATCTATATAGTACCTAGTTTTTAAAGGGTTAAAACCGAGGAAAAAACACATTATTGTAGCTACTATAACGATTTGCCCCATTCCTGACACTGTTGAGCTATCCAAGTAGAAGAATCTAAAAGGCTTCTTCCATAAGAGGAAATTCTTGCATTATTCGAGATGTTTTTATATTATTAAGACTTACTTCTTCAATTTTCTGTCATCAACAGTAGTAATTATCCCTGACAACTGTACGCCTTACACTTTACAAGACTTCACATAATTATCTCACACATTTCAGAGACTTTGTCATAAATTCGGGTGTTTGCTCTTTCAGGTTGTATATAAGGAAACGGAGAAGTCTCAGAATTTAGAAATGGAGAATCTTCCCTTCCCACCAACCAGAGCTGCAGCCAGTTCTCTTTTCAGCACGGAGAGTAAATGTAAGAAGCAAAGGGAGGAATGGTCTTTTTTTTTTTATGTTGATTCTTTTTTTTTTTCAATTAACAAGCATTTATTTTTTCTCTTCATCTTTTCCTCCCACCCAATTGGAAAAATGACCAAAAAAAAAAAGCCTTATAAGAAATATGCGGAGTTAAGCAAAACAAATTCCCATATTGGCTGTGTAAAAAATGTGTGTCTCTGTCTGCACCATGAGTCTGTCTGCTCTTTGCAGGTTAGGGAGCCTGCTTTGTCATCAGGCCTCTGGAGTCATGGTTTGCCATTGCATTGATCGGAAATCTGCAGTATTTCATAGTTAATACTTTACAGTGTTGTTCTAGAAATCATTCTCCTGGTTTTGCTCCTTTTACCCTGCATCTACCAAAAGTGCATTTATGTGCCCTTTTTTTTTTTCTGGCATTCCCTCCATTTGTCATTTTTCTTTTTTGTCAGCTTTGCCAATCTGATGGTTGAGGTACAAACTCAGAGTTGTATTTTGAATTTCTCTAATAGTGATTTGGAATACTTTTTCATATGGCTAATGATGGGTTGGATTTCTTCCTTTGAAAAACTGCCTGTCCATATCCTTTGACTCTTAATCAATTGGGAAATGGCTCTCAGTCTTATAAATTTGAATCAGTTCTTTCTATATCTTGAGAATGAAACCTTTATCAGATAAACCTGCTGCAAAGATTTTTTTCCAGTTAATTTTTCCCCTTCTAATCATAGCTGCATTCAACCTACACTTTTAAATGGTTTTTTTTTTCAATTAATGAAAATCCACTTTTTCTCCCTGCAGCACTTCTATCCCTCCATTGAAAAACAAAGCCCTTGTAACCAGTATTCATAATCAAGTAAAATAAAGTCCAACATATCCAAAATGTTTTTGCCATGTCCAAACATTATATATGTGTATGTGTATATATATTCACATACACATATATACACACATACATATGTATACATACACACACATATGTATATGCATGTACACATGTACATCTCAGTCTGCACCCCGATTGCACCACCTTTGTGATTGATCATGGGTCCTCTGGAATTGTGGTTGCTCCATTGCATTGATCAGTGGCATTCACACCTCCTCTTTATGAAGAAAAGGGTGGCCAGAGATGAGCGTGCTCAGCACTGTTGTTCTAGTTTTGATGCAGTTTGCTCCACCCCTTTCTCTTTCTCTAACCCAGAGTTTGTTTTGGTTAAGACTAATACTTCCTATAATTTGACTTATACTTATTTCCCTTTAGCCCCAGTCTCCCCTTTCCCATATGTTTTCTCATAGAGTAAAATGTATCTTTCCACCCAACTGTGTATGTGGGGTGTATGTATGCGTATACTTCCCTCTGACCAGTTCAGATGAAAGTGAGGTTCAAGTGTCAGCTCTTCCCCCAGTCCCTTCCCTTTTGTATAGTGTTCTGTTTGCGTATTCAAGTTATTTCATTCCACAAAGCTCTAGTTTGTTTTTTTTTTCTTTTGGCTAGGCAATGGGGTTAAGTGACTTGCCCAGGGTCACACAGCTAGTAAATGTTATGTGTCTGAGGCCAGATTTGAACTCAGGTCCTCCTGAATCCAGGGCTGATGCTCTATCCACTGAGCCAACTAGCTGCCCCCGAAGCTCTGGTTTTCAGCAGCAGTGCTTGGAAGTTCTCTTGTTCATTAATGAACATTAATTCCCTGCTGCGGCGCAGGCCCCTCCCTCCCCCCTGCAGAATTATACTGTTTGCTGGGTAAATTCTTTTTGATCATAAGCTTTTAGCTTTTGCTTTTTGAAATATCATTCCTAACTCTCTGCTCCTTTATGGTGGTGGCCACTAAATCTTCTGTGATCTGACTGTGGCTCTTCAGTACTTTGGCCGCTTCCAGTATTTTTTTCTTTGACCCAAAAGCTCTGGATTTTGAGATTTCTTTCAGGAGGTAGCCAGTGTTTTCTTGGTATTTTTACTTTGTCCTTTGGTTCCAAGAGATCTGGGAAGTTTTTCTTTTGATTTCATGCTTCCAGGAATTGTAATTGAGCTTGTGCCCAAGCTATGCTTTCTTTGAGGCTTTGCTTATGTTTTGGAATTATTCTCTTTTGTCTTTGTGTCTTGAATTTCCATGTCATTATAATAGCTTTTTATGGCAGGATTATTTTGTCTGCTCATTCTTTTAGCTAAAAAAAAACCTTCTGAATTATCTAGTTAGATCATGTCAATGAACAAAAAATTTTCTCAGATCAGCCAAAAGCAAAAGTTTCTGTCTTGCTAAATGAAGAATCTCTACATGACAGATGTGAAAGTGGGAGGTGAAGGAGTGTGGGTTAGTGAAGACATAGGGGCCATGCTGTTTGTAGAGTAAGTCATTTCATTTCACTGACCTCTATCTTCTGTTTAGTGACATGATTGATCAAAGATAATTCAGGTCTCTTTTTTTAGCTTGAAGATTTTACGACTGAGATGAAATGGAGGCTAATTGGGGAATCAGCTGTGGAAATGAAGACATATCAGGGTGGGGCAGAAGCACTAGAAACTAAAACCAAGCTATTTTAGCTATAGATAACAGTATTCTACCATTTGATTTGTTTGCAATAAGATGCTTTCCCTTATAGATTTATCAGGTTAACTGCTATAATTAGTGCAGCTAGCATTGTCTGCTAATTGGTAACTGCTGATGCAGTAAGCTGAACCTGTTGTTCGAGGAGAAACAAACATGCACTTTTGTAAAGATGTTACCGGGGCTACACACGGAAGTGTAGTGGTTCAAAGGAAACGTCCCATTCCAATCTGGATCCTTTTTCTTGTCTATCTTCAGTTGCTTTTCTGTACTGCTCTCTGATGGGGGGGTGAGATACATTTCTTTTTAAGAGATTACCAGAGTACTTAAAAACTCTGTGACTCTTTTCCGCCTTCTGTTTAGCACTGTTGTGACAGGTTTTAGATAAAAAACATTGTTTAGATGTTTGCATGACTCAGTTAAATTATTTCCACTTTTTTTTCTTTTGCTTTTTTAGATGAGGTGGTCTCATCTCCAGTTTCTTTACAGACATTGAAACCCCTCACTGATCGACCAAATCCTAAAATTGGCATAGGAGTCTTAGCATTTAGTCCAGACAATTGCTTCCTGGCAACGAGAAATGGTCAGTACCCTGTGAACCATATTATCTTTCACCACGTATGAACTTTGTCAGAACAAAACCAAGGACAGTGTTCTCTTCTGGGGTTTTTCCCCTCCATTACTCCTGCAGGGAAAGAGCAGCCATTGCTGTCCACCAAGGCAAAGGGTTAATTCTCTGACTCACTGAGAATAGTGACTGTGCTCACATCATTTGTTAACTACCCATTTGGGGGTAAAACATGATGGAGAAAAAGGAGGAATTGATCCAGTAAACATGGTAACCATTATAAATCAATTTTAATATTGCTTATTATCTTGAGGCAAAATATAGCCTCTGTGGTTGATTTTACAACTAAGACAAAATGGTTTAGTGCCACACAACAATTGGCTCTTAACCTTCCAGTTCTACCGGGACATTTAAAGAGCTGAACTAAACAGAAATTATATTTAACTATGGAGCAAACACGGTCTTATCATATTGTGCGTGTGCATAATTATAAAGTTTCTTCTTTCCACTAGATAACATTCCCAATGCTGTTTGGATCTGGGACATACAAAAACTCAAATTATTTGTGGTGTTAGAACATCTGTCGGCTGTTCGTTCATTTCAATGGGATCCCCAGCAAGCCCGGCTAGCTGTGTGCACTGGGAGAAGCCAGGTGTACCTGTGGTCCCCAGCAGGCTGCGTGTCAGTGCAGGTACCAGCAGAAGGTGAGTGGGGATAAAGGTAAACGGTGCTTTTGTATCGCAAACTGATAATTCCTTCTGGTAACCAAGAGCTGGTATACGGTTGACTTATTGCTGTGAATCTTTTGGAATTTTTTTTTACTTTCTCCAGGTGACTTTCAAATACTTTCTCTGTGTTGGCACCGAAGTGGGGACTCCATGGCCCTCCTCAGCAAAGATCAGCTGTGTTTATGTTACTTGGAAAATGAAGGAGTTAAATAATTACAGCCAAAAATCTTAAGGATTTCTTTGATATCTACAGTTTGAGTGAATAAATGCTGCTGTGTCCGAAATCCGATACACATTTGTTTTGACGAAGGTGGGAATCAAATCTTTGGGTGACTAAGTAACGCCTTCATTTTAAATGTTTTTCTATAGTAAAGTATCTTTGTACGTATGTCACATAGAAAAACTAAATGTTTTTTATTATAATAAAGACTCAAAAAGTTCACAAAGCAATGTGATGTACGTTTTTCCATTAAGACAGACTCAGGGCATATATTACATTGTTTCTGGGATACTACTATCAAAAAAACAGGCTGATAGGATTATACACTGGCCCCTAGAACGTCTCCCCCCTTTCTATAACCACTTACTGTTCTCTTAGAGACGTCACTACTCTTTTGAGGTGCTGCCAATCTAAGCCCGTTTCAGAAAGGGCTGACAGAAACCAGGGAAAGCCTGTTAAACAACCAATATTTTATGTTGTTAAAGAACTGGAGAAGTTACTGATTCATTGCTATTAGGAGCTGTACCTCAAAAACCCTATTGCAAACTATTTGGTAACCCTGGTGTTATATCACCAGTGGCCAGAGGACTAGGTTCTAAAGCACTAGGCATCTTCCTTTACTAGAGCTGGTATGTTTTCCCTCTTGTGAAGGAAAACATCAGGTGGTTAAGGGGTTGGGTTTAAGTACATAGACATTCTGTTAAATTATAACCCTTAAATTATTACCGGACACTCATATATTTACCTTTTTTGGTCAAGTTGGGAATATGACTTTTTGTTTGTAGCTATTTAAAGTGAATCACTTCAGCACTTTTCCAAAGTTGGAGAAGGTACGACGTTGGTAAAGGTAGATTCGTCTTTACTACAAGATTAGAAACAGAAGCTAGACACACAGGTGTTTTCTCAAACGGTCTATTTTGGACATGCATTGTATTGCATTCCAGACACACACATGCCGGTCATCTGACAAGCTAACAATTAAACGTGAGGCTTAAAAACGAAGGGTTCAAACACACACACATACACACACCAACCAAGAGGCTGGTCAGACAGCATGGAAAGTTTACAATTACACTGTATTTTGTGGCAGACAGGATCCTTATTCTTCTAAGAAGTCTAGCAACAATTCGAGTTGTAAAAGGCTATCATCTTCAACTATATTATTCACCCCAGGACACACAAGTCGGGATAGCGTGAGTGCAATGTTCTGACCGACCTACACACGCATAACCACCTCAGACATCAGTTGCTTAGTGCCAGTCTAACAGGAGGCCTTTACAAAGTGCAGTACTCGAAGAGCAAAGCGAATCAATTCCCTTTTAAATACTCACATGGCAATCAAAACCTTAGCATATATGTCAATAAAATCATGTGCAAAGAATTATCAAGGTGACTGTCTAATGAAACCAGTTAAATCGTCTTAAAGTGATTCCCCCCCCATAATTCCCCCCCGCCCCATAAACCTCTTTGGGCCTGTATATGGTAGCATAACTATGAACACAACTTAGATTCATTCTAGAAAAAGTTTGACTTCAGACCAAACTTATATTTACAAAACAACTACTGTCATCCACAACAGTAGCTAACAAAGGCAAAGACTCAGTCCAGCTAAGATGGACCAGTCTGTTGGCTACTTTTGCATTTGGCTTCTTAAAGGAAAAAAAAAAGGCTTTTTTCTTAAAAAAAAAAAAAAAGAAAAATTAAAATTGACACTAAGTGTAAACGTTTGTAGCTACAGGCACTAGACATCAGGTAGCTCTTCTTGTATATGATTTACATCACATTACATTCTAAGTGAAGTCATTCCGATCTTTTTGTGATCATGCTAGAGTGGCTGCATTGGGAAATGTCAAAAGAAGCAAAATCCACACACTCAAGAAAAAGCACTAGAAGTAATTAGAAAATAAAACACCAGCTAATCCAACTGACAGCTGGATTCAATTTGCCCTTTGTGTATAGCTTGTATTGTTGCCGAGTATCCGATATCTGAAGTTTGTAATTCATTTTACTATTCATAACCTTAGAGGTAAGTAACTATTACATATCCTTTTACCTAGAAGCACACCCTGGGTCCTCCATCTGCTTTTCAGGAGGTGATCTCCTTTAAAGTCACAACACCCAAAAGACAACTTCTATAGCACGTGGATTGTGAAATGTAGATGTTTAGAAGCCGATTTTGCCTCTTGACATGGAGTAGCCTAGCTTGGCCTCGTTGTTGATAAAGGACATGAGCCCCACATAGGTCTCAATGAGAAGAGGACGCTCCAAGACCAGCACTCCATTGGCTCGACCTGGTAAAGGGAATTCCTTTTGGGCCTTCTTGACGGCTTGAATTAATAGAGCCTTGAAGCTTTCCAACTTTAAAGAAAAGAAGAGAGCAGGTTAGTGTCCAGGCAAAATCAAAGCAAACCCTACCTCCTAAGAGTTGGGAAGAAATGATTTGGAGACGAATCTGATGAGAGAAAGGCCTAATGGATGGATCCCAGCCAGTTCTGAGTCCTTCAAGAACCATCCTTCCCCAAGCCCTTCCACCAGGGAGTGCGATCAACTACAAATTCTAGTTATTCTCACGATCGCCATGTCTTAACTTAAATTTAGCTGTGTAACTGTCCGAGGATGGCTGGTGTTGCTGAGTAGTATGGGTTAATACAGCACTTTCTAATATTAGCCCAGAAGCAAATTAGTTTCATTTCTAAAGACCTTTTCCCAAGAGATCTGGCAAGAAGTGATGGTACCCAGTGGGATTCTCCCCCCTTACTTGGCAAAGAGATGCAATCTTCTCATCAGCATCTGCCATTGGATGCTCTATAAAAGTGGCATAAGGCAGATTTGTGGACCAGGGGTTCCATCTGTTTATGAAGGAGGGGCGGCTCTGCTTATCCCACTGAATTCGAATCCCAAAACCTTCTCGCCTGAAATTGGAAGAGATCAGTCACAAAGCAGAGCTCAAATGCCCTTTTCAGAGCATCCTGGTCAATCACAAAGATACGACAGGGAAAAAAAGTCCCATATTTTAAGTGAACTCCCCCTCCCTCGTCTTTTTATAATCTAGAATTCATTCTTGTTCCTAATAATAATAATGATTAGTGGCCTTTATAGGCAGCTGCTTTAAACACTTTAAATTCTGCTCACTTTAATTAAAATGCCTTAGGTTAAGCTTAAATTCTTGACACTTCTTAGGCTCATTTACTTGAGTCAATGCAGTGCAGTGTTGACCCAAGCTCTGATTGACCTGTTCATAACTTTAACTTCCTTTTCTGTTTGTTTTGTTTTATGGCAATTGGGGTTAAGTGACTTGCCCAAGGTCACACAGCCAGTAAGTGTCAAGTGTTTGGTCTGAATTCGGATTTGAACTCAGGTCCTCCTGACTTCATGGCCAGTACCCACTGTGCCACCTAGCTGCCCCTTGCTTTTTTTGTTTGTTTGTTTGTTTTGTTTTGTTTTTTAACTTCCTTTTCTGGTTGTCCTATTGGTATTTAGTTATGAATATCTGGGGTCTTAGCTTTTCAAGAGTTTTCTGGCCAAATCTTTACTTAACCCTATAAAACATATTAATATTTAAATAGCTACAACTTCTGTGTATTTTATAATGCAAAAAATACCCCCAAGGCAATAGCATTAGACCAAGGAAGTTGAATGCTACTAAACATTTTACTACAAGAATCTATCCTTTGTAAAGGATATTAAAGCAAAAAGCATCTGTCTCTTTTTCAAACTTAACTGCCCCAAAAACTATGATGATCAATGCAATGCCCTTTTCTGAAGCCAGAGAAAAGACACACTGCAGGATTTAAATACTGGAGTGGCTGGCTACGTGCAACCTTTTAATACATCCAAATCAATTTACCAGAGCCCTAAACTATAATTTATTTCATAGTCCTTTTTAATGTACTTGGTGGTCTAAAACTAGCTTGTTTTTATTCCAAATAATCTTTCAAGTGACTACTGGTAAGGCAGATACCTCTAAAGCCAAAAGTCCCTTTAATTCCAGGCCAACAGCCTCTTTTAACAGAGTAAGTTTCTCTAAAGCTACTGTGGCTCATCCTTACATGTAAATATTTATCTGACTTTCCATCTGAGGTCAGATTACCTAATGAGTTTTCTTCCCCAAACAATATCAAATGTTCTCATGCAATCAGAAAGCAAACAATAAGAAAGTGCACCATAAGAAAGAGCCATTTGCATTCTGGGTAGTTAAGTTTGACTCTTTGAATAGGATTCAATGGAAAAAATTTTAAGTATAAATGCTATGAAATAAATTTAAATATCTGTAGTTATGAAAACCCTTCTTTAGAAAGACACATATAAAAATTCAAGCCACTTCTGACCAAGTAACAATTCTACTTCCTGAAATTCTTCTAAGTCCATCTCCTTTACTGCAGTTACATGTAATAGATCATCTGCTGGTGCTGTAAAACAAAGTTGGGCTACTTTATCTCTAAGGCAGAGGCTCCAGCTTTTTCGATCAAAAGTTAACCTCTTTTTGTGTCCTGGACTCCTGGGCAGGGTGGTGAAGCCTATGGACTCCCTCCCAAAAATTACAATCTTACATGCATAAAGCAAAATACATAGGATTACAATTATATTGAAATGTAGTTATCAAAATATTAAGAAAAACAACACCCCCACCCCCACTCTAAAGTGCCTTCCTGCTTTAAATTCTAATTCTGTGCTACGGAAGCCATGAATTGAACTTACTTATTCAGTGATTTAGGAGGAAACTCAAACTCTCCATAAGAAATGGTATCAATTGCATTTAATGATATTTTAACCACCTGCTGGCACTGTAGATTAATGAAGTCATATTTACAGATCAGCAGGGATTGGTCTGTGATGAGAACCAGCCGCTCCTTTTCATTGTTCCAATGGTCAACCCTGGTGAGGCAGAGAAAATGAATCATCTTTTGTAACTCCTCCCCTCGTAAAAGCACCCCCCCCAATGAAGAAATGGCGTTAGGTTAGCTGTTCAACAAGACCGTGGAAAAGCCTTCTGTGGGGGTGGAAGGGGGTGTGTGTGTGTGTGTGTGTGTGTGTGTGTATGTGTGTGTGTTAGTAAAAGCAAAGTGACAATGACTCCTCCCTCACAGGGAGTACTGGGTAACAGCTCCAGGGGACATTCAGGCTAGTGTCTTCATTACAAGCTCCTATCTTCGCTGAGGAAATGCTATGTACACAGGCCTCTCCATACCTTTACAATTTCTAAGCTAGCAGAGACAGACACTCCACATAA